ACCAGTTTTCCTCTGATAATAAAAAAAAAAATTAGGAAATATCCATTGCTATTTACCACCAACTGAAAGCCCAATTTGTCCTGAAAAAAACAAGGTATAATTCACCTGGATGTACAAAATAGTTGCAATGTGTAAGGTAAGGTATGTAAGGTTTTTACTGACACGTCAAAGGTGTAAAATTTTATTTAGGCTTTAAGATTTGTTTTACCCTTAGGTGTGAAGGCGTTAACTGATAATCTGTGGTCATACAACACTGTACACAAATAAAATGTATCTTTTTTTTCAGACAAATAGAGCTATATTTTGGTGGTATTTGATCACCACTGGGTTTTTTCTATTTTTTTTTTTTGAATGAAAAAAGACCGAAAATAAAAAAAACTATATTTTTAACTTTTTGATTTAAAGCAATAAAAAACAAATAAATCCCATTTCTTCATAAATATAGGCCAAAATGTATTCTGCTACATGTCTTTGGCAAAAAAATTTCCAATAAGTGTATATTAATTGGTTTGCATGAAAATTATAGCGTCTTCAAACAATGGTATAGATACTGGAATTTATTTTTATTCTAGTAATCAGTATCAGTACCAGCAATTTATATCGGTGATGGGATGGTATGGCGGGCATTCAGACAATAACTGACACTCGGTGGTAACTGACTAACTGTCATTGACATTCTTGACATGTTTGCTCATTCTTGAGCTTGCCTGTGTTTTGCTTGCTGGACCTTTGACTAAGTGGATATTTGGTGGAGTTAAAAAATCGGAGTTGAAAACAGGAGATTATAACAGAAGTCTACTAACCTATGTGACAACTGATATTTACTATTAATATTGTAACTGGAATATGAGTGCTAGCAGGGTTGAAGGTTTTGTGCAGTGCACAGTGTGCCACATGTATTCAACAATGGAGCAACAGCTCTGTGATGATCGCGGCGTCAGACCCCAGCCCTTCTCACCAAACTGGTGACCGAAGGACTAGCCAATCTAAAACCGTGCTGTCACGTGCATAACAATGCCACGCCCAGCTGCACCCTGCACACAGATTTTCCAGCTAATGGACCACAACCTGTGTACCTTCAGCCTGAGAGCGATTGTTACTGGGTCAGATTAATTATGCAATTAACCCTTTACACTGCCACCACCTCCTTTTTGTACAGAGAAAGAGGAAACTCAGCAATATCAGCAATAACACTATGATGTTTGCATAAGCATTGGTATACCACTGTCACCGCAGGCAGCAATATACAGAAGTTTAAAACACACACACACAGTAGCGCTTTTCAGAGGCAGGGGTTCTTTGGTTTGCATCAAAGAGCTTTAGAAACAGTTCAACATTTTCAGAAAGTAAGATTTATTACTAAAAGGTCAAAAGGGTGCAATAAAAATATTTACAGAAAAAGATGTAGCCAATATATATATAAATATACAGAGAACAATAGCACAGCAAAGAGATAACAGAGAGAAATTTAAGGAGGTAAAGTACTTGCCAAACATCCTGGTTTAAGCAGATCAGGTTTCATGAGCCAAAAGGATTCTTTATCTCCCAAAGTTAGTTCTGATGTTAAAAAGGGAGATTATTCAACTTTTTTCAACTCAGCTTAGCTTAGCTTTTTCTAAGAACTCCACAGGGTGTCTCCCTGAAGCAGAGAACCAATCGCCTCATTTGGGGAGGGGTGTTGGTGCGGAGACCCAAGCTAGAACCAAAAACTCTCAAAGTTGATGTCATGGTTCATAACTTATTCTCAGTGCATTTAACAGCCTTGGCACTAGTAGATTAATATGCAGAAGCATCTGCTGAACGATTAGATATGAAATATGACATATCTGCTTGAATGGTTCAGGAGATATAATTTTCTGCTCTCCTGTATATGCCAGCTAGGGGGTGTAATATACCAGACGACTTGTCTTAAAGTGACCCGCCCGGATATGTGCTCCCTGTTTATGTAATTATGTCCTATTTGAAGATATAAAATTATATGGAAAAGTGAGTTTATAAATGTAAGTCTGTTTTTACAACTACCTGGAATGCCTTTGAGCTCAGTGAAGGACTTGGTTTATGGCTTTATAATATCCCAGATTGAGAAGTTAACAGACATCTTGACCCCAGCTCAGTTAGAATTTTATAGCCCTGGAGCTCTCCCACTGGGGCCTGTTGCCATTTTAACTCAGACCACATTCCTGATTGAGGGGGGCAAAATTGGAGGGGAGAGCCTGATTTGGAAGAGAGATGATACAAAATGGAAGATTCTTAAGAAGATGGATGACCACGTTCATCTCAGTGTGCACAATTGCTACAAGCTCCAGGATAGATACCAATGCGACAAATGTGAGCAGATTGTCCTTCTGGAAACTCATGTTAGAGATCTGGAGGAGCAAGTTGCTACACTGTGCAGAACTGACAACCTTGAAAGGGATCTTATGCTCTCTAAGTAGATAGCTAATGGGATTGATGTGGAGGGCGGAGAAGCTAATTAGGATTATCAGGTAGGAAGATGGGTTACTGTACTGAGAGGGGGTGGTAGGGACTCACAGAAAAGGTAGGCTGGCCCTGGGTTTGAGCACCCAAACAGATTTGCCAAGTTGGGTGAAGATGTGGGGGGGTGGCAAGCTCAGGGGTGGCAGCCGTGGATGTCACTGCTATCCCTAACAGCCGGGAGGGCAGACCATCTAAGAGGGGTGGTGAGGGTAGTGCAGGAAGCCCTAAACAGTTGGCAGTAGTAGAGGATTCTATAATCAGAAGGACTGATAGAATAATGTGTTGCCAGGATCGCCTTATCCGAATAATTTGCTGTCTCCCTGGAGCCAGGGTTTGGCATGTGGTGGACCGGGTTGATAAATTACTGGGAAGGGCTAGGCATGACCCAGCTATCTTGGTCCATGTTGGAACCAATGTGTCAGGAATGGGCTCACCTGCCGTGTGGGCTGCAGTACCGGTGCTTGCCAGCGGGTGTGTCAGGAAATGGGCTCACCTGCTGTGTGGGCTGCAGTACCGGTGCTTGCCAGCGGGTGCTTTCAGCAGCCAGGATCTCACTCCTGCAATCAAGCCATCACCTGAGGCTGATTGCAGGGGGTATATTTAAGCAGCACCAGGCCTGCAATCAGTGCCTTGGTGTTGTCCCATGAGCCCCTGTATCTTGTTCCTGATTGTCCTGTACTCCTGATTGCCTTGCTGCCGACCTTGCTTGATCCTGACCTTGCTGACTTCTCCTGCTCTGATCCCTGGCTCATTTGACTACTCTTCTGGATATCCCTATTGATCTGAACTCCTGTTATCGAACCTGGCGAGTGACCCGACTACTCTTTGCCTGCTGCCTTGTACCGTGATGTCCCCACTGTTACCGACCCAGCCTGTCTGACCACGCTTGCTACTCTGCCATCCATCCATCCTGCACGGACCTATCCGCCTCTTCACGTCAGGCTCTTACTAGTGTATACCTCTGGCGGATCCCTCTACCACAGGTGGGTGTACTCAGGGGCCGCGACCTGGTCACTGTCTGCTCCAAGTCCATCCCCACCATCAGGGGCCCTGGGTGAACAAGCAGACTGGGGCTTAGACTCCGCGCTCTGGGGAATCCTGTCCTGTGGATTGCTAGAGGTTCCGCCAGGTGGTATCTGACAGAACCATACGGCCTGCGTGACCATTCCACCTCTCCAGCCCTGACTACGCCTGTGTTTCCGCACATACTGATATTAGTGGAAGGTTGGTTTGTTTACTGTGCATTTTGCATATTTTGGCGGCTAACAATAAATTATATTGGTATTACATCATTCCTGAAGCCTGTTACTTCCCTGTGTCAGTCCACACATTTCTGGTCGTACCCGGATCCCTGACACAATGACAGAATAAATGGAAGGTGGAGGCTCCTTGACAATTTAAAGAATTAGGCTGTAAATTGAAGGGAAGGACCTCCAAGGTGATATTCTCTGAAATATTACCTGTGCCATGCGCAACTCAGGAAAGACGGGGAGATTAGAGAACTCAATGCATGGCTAAAGCCCTGGTGTAAGAGAGAAGGATTTGGGTTTCTAGAGCACTGGGCTGACTTTTCATTGGGGTGCAACCTAAATGCTAGAGATGGTCTGCATCTAAATGGAAGGGGGTCTGCTTTATGGGAAAGCTGGAGGAGTATTTAAACTAGGATCAAGGGGGGAGGAAGAATTAAATTATAACGGGGTAGACAGATCAGACAGGGGTCAGTACTTATTGGTGAGTGGAATAGGTAAAGATGGGGGGAGGGCTATGGCAGATAAGAAGGTTCCAATGTTACAAACAACCATTAGAATTGGTACAATTTTTATGAAAATAAAAAAATATGCAAAATACGTGTGCACAAGGTGTCAGTGACTTAAAGTGTTTGTTCACCAATGCCAGAAGTCTGCTAAGCAAAATAGGTGAGTTGGAAGCTTTGGTGCATGAACAAAACTATGACTTAATTGGTATTGCTGAATCTTGGCTTCATTCTTCACATGACTGGGCCATTAATATTCCTGGCTATGTTCTCTTTCAGAGAGACAGGGTAAATAGGAAAAGTGCTGGTGTCTGTCTCTATGTAAGAAGTGATCTCAGAGTGAGTGTGAAAGAGAACCTATTTGAGTTTGTTATAGACCTCCCAGTGTTAATGAGGAGGTGGACATTCAGATCCTTGCACAGATCGAAAGGGCTGGGACTAGTGATAATAATGAGGAATTTTAACTACCCTGAAATTGAGTGGAGCAATGGTACTGCAGGAACAGTTAAAGAGCAAAAATGTTTAACTAGTTGCCAACCGCAGATAGCCGAATGACGGCTTCACTGCGGCCAGCCAGTTCTGGGTGGACGTCATATGACGTCCCCCCAGAACGCGCTCTCCTGCGCGCCCCAGGGGGCGCGCACCCGGCGATTTCCGTGATCGCTGTGTCCTACGGACACAGCTGATCACGAGATGTGGTAAAAGGCCAATCATACCGGCCTTTTACCACGTGATCAGCGGTGTCCAATGACATGCTGATCACAGGGAAATGCAAGTGCCGGTTCTCGGCTGCACTTTCCTCACGCTGTCAGATCGTGAGGAAAGTACTGCCGAGAACCGGCAGTTGTCAGGGCGAGGATCGGCACCGATCATCATGGCACTGATGATCAGTGCCCTGATGATCGGTGCCCAGCAGTGCCACCCACAAGTTCCGCCCACCTCTGCCCAGCAGTGCACCCACCTGTGCCCAGCAGTGCACCCACCTGTGCCACTCAGTGCAGTGTCCACAGTGTCACACACCTGTGCCCAGAAGTGCCACCTACCTGTGCCCAGCAGTGCCACCCACCTGTGCCCACCCACCTGTGCCCACCAGTGCCACCCACCTGTGCCCACCAGTGCCACCCACCTGTGCCCACCCACCAGTGCTGCCCACCAGTGCCACCCACCAGTGCAGCCCAGCAGTGCTGCCAGTCAGTGCCACCAGTCAGTGCCCAGCGGTTGTGCCAGTCAGTGCCGCCAGTCAGTGCCCAGCAGTGATGCCAGTCAGTGCCATCTATCAGTACCCATCATCAGTGTCACCTATCAGTGCCGCCTATCAGTGCTGCATATTAGTGCCGCCTATCCGTGACACCTCATTAGTGCTGCCTATCAGTGCCGCCTATCCGTGCCACCTCATTAGTACTGCCTATCAGTGCCCTTTAGTGCTGCCTATCAGTGCCCATCAGTGCCGCCTATCAGTGCCCATCAGTGCTGCCTCATCAACGCACATCAGTGAAGGAGAAAAATTACCTGTTTGAAAAATTTTATAATAGAAACAAAGAAACTTTTTTTTTTTTCAAATTTTTTGCACTTTTTAAATTTATAGCGCAAAAAGTAAAGCGCCCAGTGGCGATTAAATACCACCAAAAGAAAGCTCTATTTGTGAGAAAAAAATGATCACAATTTCATATGGGTACAATGTTGCATGACCGCGCAATTGTCAATCAAAGTGCGGCAGCGCTGAAAGCTGAAAATTGGCCTGGTAAATAAGGGGGTATAAGTGCCTGGTAGGCAAGTGGTTAAACCGACTACAGGACAGTTTTATGGTACAGTTCATAGAGGTCCCAACTAGGAATGATGTTCTGCTGGACCTGGTAATCTCAAACAATGCAGAGCTTATTACGACTGTCCGTATAAAAAAAACATCTGGGTAGCAGTGACCATAACATGATTTAATGTATTGTTAGCTGTAAACAGCAAGCACATACGGGAAAAATAAAACTGCTCAATTTTAAGAGAGCTAATTTTCCAAGGCTGAGAGCTGCTCTCCAACACTTAGACTGGGAGGGAATATTGGCATCAATGAACACAACACAGAAATGGGAGTTCTTCAAAAAGACTGTATGTGAACACACTGCAAAATATATTCCCATGGGCAACACGTTTAAAAGGCTAAAAATCAAACCTATGTGGCTTACGGCCAAAGTTAAAAAATATATAGATAATAAAAAAGAGCTTTTATTAAATAAAAAAATGAAAGAAGACTATCATTGTTTAAACATTACAAAGAATATAACAGAATATGCAAAAAGGAAAAAAAAATTAAAAGTGAACAACAGATTTCAAAAGATAGCAGGACCAACCCCTAAAAATTCTTCAAGTATATTATTAGTAAAAAGGTCTGGTCCCAGCATGTAGGCCCTTTACTAAATAATCTAGAGTGGGTGACTGAGAACAAAGAGAAGGCAAATTTATTAAATACCTTCTTCAGCTCTGTGTATACAAAGGAGCCTTGGGGGAGCTCTTGTCCATAATGGGCATGGCATTGACAGCTCCAGATGATCCACATTGGCTCACAATTGATATGATCCAAAAATATCAAGACAGAATAAAGGTGAATAAAGCACCTGGACCGGATGGCATACACCCATTAAAGAATTGAGCTCTGCCATTTCAAAGCCATTGTTTCTAATTTTTAGGGACTCTTTAATGACTGGCATAGTACCACTGGATTGGCGTTAGGCCAATGTGGTGCCAATATTTAAAAAGGGGTCTAAATCTTTACCAAGTAATTATAGACCTGTTAGTTTAACTTCTATAGTTGGGAAGATACTGGAGAGTTTAATAAAAAACCACACAGATGAGTTCTTGGAAAAAAAATAGTTTAAGCAACAGACAGCATGGATTCATGAAAGACAGAAGTTGTCAAACAAATCTGATTTCTTTTTATGAGGGGTGAGCAAAACCTTGGACAGAGGGGAGGAGGTGGACGTGGTATACTTGGATTTTGCGAAAGCATTTGACACAGTTCCCCCACACGGCTAATGTGTAAGGTAAAGTCTATGGGCTTGAAAAAATCTGTATGTAAACGGATAGAAAACTGGCTAAAAGATCATATTCGGAGAGTAGTGGTTAATGATTCATACTCTGAATGGTCTAGGGTTGTCAGTGGTGTACCCCAAGGTTCAGTGTTGGGACCCTTACTGTTTAATATATTTATAAACAATATAGGGTCTGAGATTAAAAATCCCATTTCAGTCTTTGCAGATGACACCAAGCTGTGCAGTGGAATAACGTCCTTACAGGATGTCTTCAGACTTACAAGCCAACCTCAATGCACTGTTTAATTGGGCAACTATGTGGCAAATGAGGTTTAATGTTGATAAATGTAAGTTTCTGCACTTGGGGGCTAAGAATATTCATGCATCATACATACTAGGGGGGGTACAACTGGGGGAATCAATGGTGGAGAAGGATCTGGGGGTTCTGGTAGATTACAAGCTTAATAATGGCATGCAATGCCAAGCTACAGTTTCTAAAGCGAGCAAAATCCTCTCTTGTATTAAAAGAGGTATAGACTGCAGAGAGAGAGACATCATATTACCCCGGTACAAATCATTAGTAAGACCTCATCTGGAATATGCAGTTCAATTTTGAGCACCAATTCACAAAAAGAACATTGGGGAACTGAAGAAAGTACAGAGAAGGGCAACCAAACTGATACGAGGCATGGAGCAGCTCAGCTATGAGGAAAGATTAGAGGAACTGAATTTATTCTCTCTTGAGAAGAGGAGATTAAGGGGGGATATGATCAACATGTATAAATACATCAGTGGTTCATATAGGGAACTCGGTGTAAATAGCTATTCACCCTGAGGTCATTACAGAGGACAAGGGGGCACTTTTTATGCCTGGAGGAAAAGAAATTTAATCTCCAAACACGGAAAGGTTTCTTCACAGTAAGAGGTGTGAAAATGTGAAATAGACTCCCCCAGCTCAGTGGATTGCTTTAAAAAAGGCCTGGATTCTTTCCTGGATATACAGAATATAACTGGATACAGGGGCGGACTGACAACTCATGGGGCTCCCGGGCAATATAGGATCATGGGGCCCCTGTGTCCTTGGCCAAACTCAAAAAAGCCTATTAAAAAGGTACCAGGGGCATCTCATGGGTCCCCCTACTGACCCCGTGCCCTCGGGCAGTGCCCGAGTTTCCAAATGGTCAGTCCGCCCCTGACTGGATACTAACATTTATAGGTAAAGTTGATCCAGGGAATATCCACTTGCCTCTAGGGGGATCAGGAGAATTTTTCCCCTGCAGAAGCAAACTGAGTAATGCTTTGCTGCTTTTTTGCCTTCCTCTGGATCAAATGTGAGTGTAGGATTATAACTTTTTTTTTTATTTTTAATAGTTGAACTGGATGGACTTTTGTCTTTTTTCAGCCAGACTAACTATGTAACTATGTCCAGTGACACTAATACAGTGATCAGTGCTAATAAAAAGCACTGTCACTGTACTAATGGCACTGGGCAGGAAGGGGTTAACATCTGGGGGATCAAAAAGATAAAGGATAAGTTCACCTTTTGGACAAAAATAATAAATGCACATTTTTTTTGCAGGTAAAAAAATGTGCATTTCATATTTTTGTCTACAGGAGCCTGTAAAGCATTGCATCAGTGATCAGTAGATCGCTGATGCCATGCAGGTCTCCTGCAGACCTGTCAGAATATCTGCTTGCTGTACGGGTTGTATGGCCAACTAGATATTGTGACAGGAAACATCAATGAACTACCACGGTGCTCCACAGCGCTGTGGTAGTTAATTGAAAACTGCAAGCTGACAGCCACAGAACACTGTGAATGAATGACGCGGCCATGTGGGCAGAGCCCCGCACAGCCATGCTGTTTTCAAATCTGACAGATAGTAGAGACCAGTATTATCTGTCAAAGGGAGGGGAGCGGTGGGCACGACTGTGGCTATGGGAACATGTTACATGTTCCACCCTAAAAACTGGTGGAACATGTAACATATTCCAAAGGTGAACTTATCTTTTAACTGTCTGCCAGGGAGAATTTTTACTGTGCACTTTTGTGGTGTGTTTTTATCTGTTTTTTTTATCTACTTGCCTTGCATATCCCCGCTGACAGGAGAGATTTGTGTTTACATTCACAGATCTCTCGCCTGTCACTTGCTCCACCAATCGCTGGGTCCCAACCATGAAACACTAGCCGGGACCCGGTGAATGACATGTACAGGAGCCAATGACAGTGTGGGTAGGCACACACGCCCCCTACCCAGAAAAGCAGAATCATGTTTATATATATATATATATATATATATATATATATATATATATATATATATACGTGATCCTGCACAGAGCGGCAGCCCTGTAGCAGTAAAGCTGCTATAGGGTGGACGCCAACTGGTTAACGTTTTTATTATTTTAGTTTTAAAAAATTTTCCTTTACAAAATATTTAATATTTAAGAACAGCTTGATCCATAAATTCCTCCCTTTGCTGCTCAAACCCTTACAACTTAAAAATTATCTAAACCCAGGAACAAACATTTAATAAATTGCAGTTTACCAATCCTTAGATGTGTTGGCTGTATTGGATTTAGTTTTTCTTGTGCTTTTTAATCTTTATCTTGAACCATTGATCCTGACAGTAGCACACTTTGGGGGAGATTTGCTATAAGTGATGCACTCAGAATCTGGTGCAGCTGAGCACAGTACCCAATCAGCTTCTAACTTCAGCTTTTTCAATTAATATTGCTAAAAAACCCCTGCAATCTCATTGGTTTCTTTGCAGAGCTGCATCAGACTTTGCACACTCCAGTTTTAGTAAATAACCCCCACTATGTCCTGGGTGACAGCATTCACTTGTAGCTCTATATCTATAGAGTATCAGGGCTATAACCCTAGGGCAGGAACTCTCCCTCTTCTCTATAATATTGGAGGGGGGGATTTATGTAGTTTTATTTGTAGCACAACCTTCAAAGGTTACGTTAGGTCTTTTGTTCTTATCAGAACTCTGATGAATACCTCTTCACCACTAACACCTCAGGTTACCCACTTTAACAGAAGTAAGCTAATGATTTTTATATTGTCAAATAAGTATCAGATGAGACAGGGTATAGCAGTGAAACATTTA